GGTGTGAAAAATGTGCCTTGTCTGGAGTACTGCTTGCAAAAACGTGTCTACTTTTGAATAGCACACTAGATCATTGCTAAAAGAACTACGTAACCAACCGAGCATTAATGCGGATGAACAGTAAGAGGATCTGCTGGAATACTCTACGTCGTCCATTCTGTGTGGAGAGTAACCCACTATACCGATAATTGGTGATAGTAACCCGTCTGCTGCGTAAGCGGATGTCTGTCCTAACTACATAGAATTATTCCCAGTTCATGGTAAGACCCCTCTGCAAGCAAGTTTAAGACTGTTCTTAAGCAGATCGGCTCCAGTGGAAAAGAGGCCCAGGAGACCATTAATTAAGGCTCTTTTAGGCGTATGTACCAAAATTGTATTTTATCATAGGAAAACTTTACATAATTTCTGCAAATTGGCTAAAAAAAAATGGAACACTTCAGCTTCAATATGAAATTGTACTAAAGAACTACGTATCTTGGTTACAATGGAGTGTCATGATGAAGATATAGTAGCCTTTCCCTCTGTGCAATGAATATATATAATTGGATTACAACAGTGTTTTCAGTTATGAAAACATTGTATTTTAAGATAGAGGAGGTCTTTTCATTTCAGCTGTCTCTTTTCAGAGATCTGTATTTTTCTCACGAAATTACTGAAGTTGAATTGAGACCGTGTTTCGGTCTTATCACAAAGATGAGGGAGAATTAGTTATCCAGTACTTTGGTAAACTAGTAATCGTAGTATGAGTGTCATAACAAACAGTAAAGTTATTCAGCCAGAACTGTATAAATGCTGGCATTTAAGCAGGCAGATACATTTCTTTTAATTACTGTGACGCTGTGCTGTCCCAGTGACGCTTGATTAGGTGTAAAGAAACCTATTTATTCCCATTAGTCTGAAGGCAACTTTTAGTGTAATAGTGAAACACAGTGTTACCTATCTGCAGAATTAAAGGTAATATTTGACTCATGGTTGATTATTGTAACATCCAGGCCATTGTACAACCCTGGTTCAGCCACAAGTTTGAGCTTTTAAGTGCTGAAGAGCTGCTCTGGGAGAACACGTGAACTGAGGCTTCCTTCCTGTTCAAAAATATTAAAAGAACAGGATGCTCATGACTTTCTATCTTTAATCTGATTGAGGCTGCAACTTCCAGGTTTAGGACCCCCGGTGAAAAGCAATTTTAATTCTTGTTCAGGACTGCTTGCCTGTTGGAGAGATTTCATCTTGTTAATTTGTAGTGATAGTAAGTCCAAACTGTTAAAAGCAATTTTCAGTGCTCCCACTAAAGGCACTTTGTATAAAAACATGACTTAGAATGTGTATCTTGGGGATAAATTATAGAAGAATATCTAGTCATTTTCATGATAAAGACCATCATTGGAAGCATAGTGCCTGCGTAAAGTTTTGAATATTTCTGTAAGAAGAATATAGTGTATGTATCATGGATTACTTGCAAAAGCAATAGATGTTAGCTGAAAATACTGCGTTAAATCTATTGCAAGTTAGTACAGGAATTATAAAATGAATATTTAAATAGGTGGATTCTCATGCTATAGAGCCTGCGTTTAAACATAATATTTGATATACATTTATTCCAACAGTCAAATGGGTTGGGATTACTAGCTGATAGGAAGTCGACAAGTAGGATCTGTATGATTTGGTAAGACTTGTGTAGACAGTGAATTCACAGTGGGCTGGTACCTTCTATACTTTCTGGGTAATGCAATGAAGATACGTGTAATGGGAGGCATTACAGAACCAATTGGACCCAAGAGACATTTGTAGAGTGCAAACACAGGCATGGAGAATCTAAAGGATTCCAGTGTTACCTGGCAATATGTTTGGTTTGCTTTTGGTTTTTTGGTATTACACTGACGAACACATTTTTTTATTTTGCTTTTAGGAAAATTAGGACAAGGCAGTGACTCTCCTGTCAGTCATCATGACAACAAAGTACAGTTAGATTTAGTGCAGCTGTTACCCTAACTCATTGGCCACCGTGCATTATGACATATTCTTAATTTTTATGACTTTAAATGGTGGAGCTGTATGATCTGTAATTTCCAAATTATTTTCATGGTCCTGGGTGCCTGCAGTTTTTTTAACAGTGAAACAACTTGTAGGTAGGTTATGCGGAAACAATTCACAGAATCATAAACTTATACTCTTTTAAATTGTTTTCTTCCTATGAATTACTTCTGGGCCTGGCTGCCTCTGTCTAAGTCTTTTTCAAGTAATATGTGTGCTATGAAATCAGCAACTTGGCAGTCTTAAACCTGTTCCTGCAGTCTGAAAAAGAGCAGCGAGACGGAGTAGGGTCCTGTACACTGCACTCTGCTGCAGGAGCCACTGGAAATCTGGAACTGCTTGCTTGCAGACTCAGCAGATGAGATTCAGTGTGCTTTCCAGAGCAGTGTCTCCCAGGGCATTGCACTTTTTCCAGCCTGCATCCAAGTTAACAGAATCTAGAGAAAGCCTGGGTGAGAGACACCAGGGCAGTGGGACTTCGTTTTGCACAATAACTCTGAGAAAAGCTCACACAGTGTCTGAAGCTTCATTTGCTATTTTTAAAAGGTACTGGGACAATTACCTCTTCAGAAACCTGCGATGACATCCACCCCACCCTGTCCAGTGCTTTTTTGTAACAGTGGGTTCCAGTAATGTTTTCTCATGTGCTGCTTTCAAGTAAAAGGGCTAATTCAGTCATTATCTGGAAGCTTTCAGTGTAATACTTACTGTTCCTCCAGTGTTAACTGATCATTACTTTTGCTTTTTGTAGTCAATATTTTTCTATGTTCTTATTAGTATGAAATACCCACTAGTTTATATAGCATCAAGAATTGTGGAATAATGGTTTTTAAATGGTGAAGTCAAACTATTCACAAAAGAGTTTAAGGAATTGCCTTTATTCTGGAGTGGGCAAGTCTGTATATGTCCTGCCTAATCGGTAACTAAGACCTGTAGATGAGATTATAGCCACAAAATTTAAATGCTACTGAGTTGTGCTGCTGCTACAGACGTCTACAGATTCTGGGAGTAGATGCAGTGCCCAGAGTACTGTTTGGGAATCATTGTTAGTATCTTTAGCATCTTCGCAGGTCTCTGTTCCAGAAGTCATGCTCAAAACCTGTCTTCTCAGATTGACTCAGGACCCTTTGCTTCATGTATTTCTTCCCTCCTTTGAGACTGTGAACTTGTGTTTTGTTTTAATTTGAAGTTCTAGTCTCACAGACGCATATGCTAGCTTGGAGCTTGCCATCTTGAGGCCCTCAGAGCGGCAGCTGTGCTGAGGCTTCATTTTGTTTGTAGTGGGGCATCGGGACACTGGGCTGCACTGTGCAGTTGCTGGTTTTGTGGTCCGTCTTGTCTGTTAGCACAGGCTGCAATTTCACTGGTAGCATCGGCTGACTGATGAGTTGACCGCTATAGGAGGGGTGAATCCCTCCACCAGTTTTGTACCAGCACTTGTGATTGGGCTGCTGTGGGGTAAGAGGAATCAGTAACGCGGGCCAAAACGGTCGTATCAAATGCCAGCGCGAATGTGGCAGGAGAAGTGGCAGAGCCAGCAGTGGGTGAAACTGGACTGGCCCTTTGAGCCGTGGCCGTGCTCAGAGTTAGAGCACTTGTGTGCAACAGTCTCAGTTGCTTGTTCAAAAATTCCATTAATGATCATGTGAGTTATCCAGGAAGATGACTTTAATTTGGTGAACAGCTTTTTAATCTTAGGTTTTGGTGTGACTGCTTGCTTCTGCCTTTGAGCAGTTTTAGGGTGGCACATCTGTGATACTGCTCAGTGACCCAGGTTGGGATCCAGCTTAAAAACAAACTTTGTTGTTGACTTTTTGCTTCTTTTTTCTTCCTGGATTATTTTTCAGCCAGTGTGGTTCCCTAACCTGTTTGTGCAGCATCACAAGCGTCTGCCAGCAGATTGTGTCAGGGTTGGAAGGATAAGACGGTGGAACTGAGTAGCTGGAGACAGGGAGGGACTGATGACTAGTTTACTCAGGACTGCAGCCGAATGTTGAAGCATAGCCTGAAGGTATGTCCGTGAGGCAAGTGCCAGGGATCATGTCAGTTTTAAGCTAGTTACCTCCGGTATTGCTAGCAGCATAGTTATTGCACCATAGACAACATCAAAGCTTGCAAAACCTGCTTGAGAAGTTTGGTAAGTTAGAGCATGGGAATTCTATCCTTACGTTGTCTGCTGCTGTCTTGGTACGTGAGCTAGCTTGGATCTGGTATAGCCACATGAATATGTTTACCTGAAGTAAGCTACAATATTAAGTTACAAGTTCCTTAGCTCTGTCTCCAGGTGAAGTTACAGGAGATGGGTATGGACTTGCTACCAGGGAAAGACGAGACCTTTCTCCCCTTTGTTCCTCTCATGCACCAGTTCATTTGGTTCGGAGCTAGTGAAACTCACTCACTGAGCGGAAAACATCCTGCTGCCATTTGCATTTTAGCTGGGTTTGTGAGTTGAAATGGCTCCCAAAGGGGACTGACAAACAGCAACACAGCATAAAGGTGTTGGGAACTCATGGTTGGGAGCAAGGAGGAAAGGTGCTGGCTCATGTGAGCTGACACTGCCTGCCTGCCTGCCTGTCTCAGGGGAGTGGGCTGCCACGTTTAACGTGTGCAGCTACTGCGAGGTAACTCTTAAGTTATTTGTCTGCATGACATATAACCACAGCAGTGGTCACAAAATAGAATAGTCTTGAGAGGGCACAATTTCCCAGCTGACGAAGAAGAGATGTGGCATCTTCTGTCTGCCTTATAATTTTTAGATGTTTCAAGTAGAATTTTTAAGCTCCCAAAAATCATTTGGGTCAGAACTTAGGGTTTTTTTATGAGTAAGTAATAGTTAGATACTACTTTTTCTGCAAAACTCGGACACCCAGTTGTGTGTGCACAATTAATATAAAAATAGTAGATCATCACTTGTTTTCTTGGAGGGAAAGGTAAAAATTGTGGTTATATTTTTAAGTAAGATTTTTTGCTTTAGAAAGAAATGTTTGCCATGTTTCAAATTTTTTTTCAGTGTCTCTTTTCCTTCAGTATTCTTCCCAAACACGTTTCTTCAAAAGGCAAACGTTTCCACCACAGGGGAATTTATGTTAATGATTTGTTGAAATGTAGTGTTTTTGAGTAATATGGTTTAATAAATGAATATGAGAGCTCACAAATGCTTTCTTCCTTTTCCATTAGATCATAGAGTGTGCCAACAGACTGAAGAACTTTTAATAGTTTTATTTCATTTTTTGATTGAAAATGGGGCTTTAGGAAAAACAATTGTGCAAATGTTAATTCTGTCTTTCTCCATCAGCGATTGCTGCGTTTTAGGCAAGTACTGTGTAGTTTCCTAGAGGAAAAGATGAAAATTCATTTTAAATGTTTATTTTGCGTGTGGTTTGTTACATCCTTGTTACCAAGAGATGATTAAATATTTGACCACCCATTAGTGTTCTTCTGTAATGTAAAGTCATATTGTGAACTGGTTATTTCATCAGTAAACTTTTAGGGTTTGGGGGTGCGACAGAGAAATCTTATGCATGAGTTGCATGGCAGAGTGGGTCTTGATACTGCAAACATTTACAGAGGGAGGCAGCTCATGTGCATGTATCAACTGCAGTAAATACTTGAATGTACAAGGTTAAGCAGTTAAAGCTGTGCAGAGTTGGAGTCATCTGAATTAGGTCAGTAGTGGAAATTATCTTGGATTTATCGTGAGCCTTGCAAACATGGATCTGCATTTCAGAAAACCAGCATACACTTCCACTGTAGTTCCTGGAAGGTTCTGAACAACAGAACCAAGGTCGAGACTGAGATCTTTACACAGTCCCAAATGGCAGGGACAGTCTCCTGAAGGCAAATCATTGGTTTTAGACTTTATTAGACCCTTACTTTAATTACCACCTCATTACTTGCTCTGCTTCCGCAAAAAGTATTCCATACTGTCGTTTTCCCTAAGTAACTGGAAATGTGATTGAAAGGGATGTTTAAAGTGAGACTAATTCAAGATTAAATAGTCACAAATTATATTATTGCTACATGTAAACAAATTACTTGCATATCTGATTTTATTCAGATTACTTTTCAAGTGGTAAATAATGCTTTATCACTTATATAGTGCTCTTACATCTTTAGAGTGCTTTTCTCACATTAATTAATCATCATTAAACACTCTGAGGTGGGTAGGTTAATACTATTATCCCCATTTTGCAGATGAAGAAATGTAGACTGAGAGGTTGTGATTTGCTCAAGGCCATATAGAAGAAATAGAATCAGAGCTGGGATTAGATCTATGTCCCTAGCTTCTAATTTCAGAAGACCAGCCAGATTGTGAGCCGCAGTTTTGAAGGAAAATATACAAGTATGCATGTAGAAACAGCACACTTTTGCTTGGCCTCTTAGATGCCTAACTTGCCATTTGTTTCAACAGAAACTTTGCTTTTGTGCCATGCTGGGTATTTCCACGTTCATACCCCCAAGTGTGGAAATGGCTTCTCATTCATTTAGGAATTTCTATTTTCATCATTTTCATTGAAATTAACTTTCACCTGAAAAATACCAGTTTCTAGTTCTTTAGGCTTAGATACAGCAGGTTTATCGCTGGTACCCGAAACTGTCGACAGATGATACCAGTACCAGCTCTGTTGCTTATAATTTTTCATGAGCTGAGACGTAAATAAAATTCTGACTTGGCAGCTTGCCTTATTGCTGTTCAGAACAGACGAGAGAGAGGAGAATTGCCCTCAGTGTGCTAAACCCATCACCTTTGTAGGCAGTGCCTGGCTGCTTAGTAGAGAGAGACATTCACATGCATGTACTCCACCTTAGAGAACTACCTAATGAAACAAAATAGTCTTGGGCTGGAGAGGAGAGCAGAACTGTTTGTGCACCACCTTGATAATCAGAAGCACCACAGAGAATTAGGCTCAGCTGTTAGTAATGGGCACATGCAGAAGCCACAGGGAAAGAAAAATGAGGTGGAAGAAAGAGGTGCCCTTGCACGTAAAGGTGAGGACCTGCTGGGGAAAGGTGGGGTAATGGGGAAGAGGTTAGAGACCCATGGGCACGTACAGGTAAGAATGAGCTTGGGGCTACAGCATGGTTCTTGCCCGTCCTCATTCCCAGGAAAATGTTGCAAGTCATTGTAGTGCCTGGCTGCTGAGTTAGGAGGTCTGGCTTCTATTTCTTAGCCCTATTCCTGACCTGTGTTAGTGGTTAAGTTACTCTGCCTGTAAAATCAGTGTGGTGCTTTTCCAAAGTGCTGTATGCTTTTATTCATGGAAAAGTTCTTCAGATCTTCAGATGGAAGATCCTGGAGAAGGCAGAATACAAATAGGTAGACTGGAAAGAAAGTCTTGAAGATAAAAGGAATTTTCTGCTTTCAGATATCTGACGAAGTCTTTGGCTGTGTGATAGGAGGCGTTTGGGGGTGATTGGGAGTCACTAGCCTGCACGCTGCCCTGTGTTGAGATTGGCACGGTGGCACTGGGGGACACCTGGGAAGTGGTCACGGGTCTAAAGCTGATCCTTCAGCTCTGCTGTGACTCTGCTTGTGAAACCTAGGAACAAGACGTTCCCTAAAAGCAGCTACGTACCCTTCCCTTTAAATAGCTCAAACTAGTAGTAATGAGAGCAGAGCCAACATGTAATCTGCTTTAATGGTTTGGTTTTTAATCCAGAAGGAATTGTGCTTTGGGTTGCAGGCGCACAGAAGTGTGCTCTTGTGGGGCTGTCCCGGATGGCTGCTTGTGGAGCTCCCAGGTATGGCTCTGTCCTGTCAGGCGCTTGAGAAGCACTAAATTTTAACAAGTTGCTGTTGGAGGAAAGGAAGGAAACAAAGTATTTGCTCATTTGTTTTCTTTTAAGACTATGGAATGTGTTTTCTGACAGTGGATCCTGTTTTAATAACCAGACCCATGATTAGGTAATGTTAACTTTGCTGCAAGAGTAGTTTAATAAATATTTTAGTATGCAGATAAGCCATTGATAACTGCATGCATTCACAAACTCATACATTTTTATGCCTAAAAGTGGAGAATTCAGAGTTTATTGATACCACTTCCACTACAACGTCTTAAAAGTAATGCATAGTTGGTGGCACTAGGTGTCCAGACAAATTGAACTCAAATGAACAAACAAACAGGTCATTTATTTTATTTACCCTGAAAGGAATTTTCATTCTTTAATTGTAACTCTAGATATAAATTATGTGTGGAAGATAGACTAATGATTTTCCCGTGTTTGATTAAAGGCAAAGAATCAAAGATTTGTTTATATATTTATCTATTTGTTTCTTTGCTGTGATAAAACCAGTTGTTATCCAAACAGTGTGACTGACCTAATAAAGGACATATGCATAATTGATCTCCATCTGTTTTTCAATATTTATTCTCTCTCTATTTTTTAATAGAGTTCAGTTCCAGAAGTGCAGCCTGAAACATTTTAAGGTGGTATATTTTAGCACTTCTGTAAACGGTCTCATTTTATGCTGGCCACTGAAACGAAAAGGTTTGTTGTTGGTTCCACCCTTTAGTATCCCTTCAAGAGAGATTATATCAAAGAAGAAGAATTAAATTAAAATTGATTGGTGCTATTGATTTTTCTTTTCTTTTTTTTTTAAAGGGGATAAAGGGCGATGGAAACAGCATATGCCCCTGTGCTGTTTTACTGATGGACTATTTTTTAAAAACATAAAAAGCATATGTGCCCAATTTACATATTTACTAATTAAAAAAGCTTCCTGGAAACATTAAGTAGACTATCTTCTGTAACCTTTAACATTGTAGCTAATGGATATGGCCTAGAAATTTTCATAGAAGGTCCTCTAAATAATGTAAATGATTATGAATATGTAACTAGTTAATATGCAGCTACGAAAGGATTATCATGTAGAGGTTAATGAACATGCTGCTCTTATGGTTTGCAGGGCTTTTCTTTTTGTGCTTTTTGCTCACTTCATGCATGGAAAGTCATGTGTTGGGAATGGAAAGCTTCCTGCCTTTTCCATCTTCATCTGTAATGGGGCAATTAAACTGGAACTTTCTTAAAGGATTTAATAAACATTTTTGTATGCTTAATTATGTTGTGTACTTCACAATCACTACCAAATCTGAAAGAATGAAGGGTGTTGATAGAAAAGGCTCTGACTCTTCTACTTGTTAGTGGTGGTCTCCATTGTGTGTTAGCATTGTTACCGAAAAACTCTGTGATTTATACCTTTTATGGAAACTTTACTCTTAAAATGTACTTAAAATTAATAGTATGAATTACATTTCTGAGTTGATGTCCTACAGAAGTCTGTACGTTTATTCTTAACCTTAAAAGTAGTTAGCTTGCACGTGGAGGACAGTACTTGCTAGGCATTTGATTTATAGGTCTTTGAAGCAAAAGATAAATTTAAACTTGGCTTACATGGGACGAGTTACCTGGCTGAGTTTCCTGATGGATTATGAAATAGCATAACCACAAATGTAGAGGTGATCCTTTTCATTTAAGTACTTTACTCTGTTTAAAGAATTATTAGCTCACAAAGTAGTCCCATTTTTTTTACCCCTGTATGAGTAGAATATGCAGGGTCTGAGATCTATTCTGCAATAGGTGCACATATGCTAACTGAAAAAAAATTGTCTTTCATTCTGTTGTTTGGGGAAAAAAAAAGAATTATCTGCTCCAGTGATTTCAGTGGTACTTGAATGTATGTTATTGTTTTCTCTGCAAATTTTCTCATTAATTGCTTTCAAATGTTAGCATTATTTTGGCTATAGGAAAAACAAAATTTGTAAAAAAAAAAAAAAAAAAAAAATCTAGAAAATGCTTATATTGAGAAGATGTCTAGACATATTTAATTGCCTCATGGCTTCATTGCATTTCATATAATTGAATGAAACTGTTTGTGTTATATTTTTGGTAACCATTATTCAGAGATCAGAATATGTTTTGAAAGACAAAATCTCCATGTAATTATGGCAGAGAAGGTCACAGGTTTCAGCATCTTGTCTGTTTGCTATATCTACGTAGTCTAAAAATACAGTTAAAGAAAAAAGTCTTTCATTTTAACAATGTGCTTTATTTTGTAAATCATTTTGGATCTCTTGGGAAAGCCTGTGGCACAAAGGAATAAGTGGAATACTCAGATTAAAACTTCCTCTTTTTTTGACACCCAGAAAGAACAGAAGCGAAGCCAGCAGCCCATAATGGAGTCAAATATCCTTGTATTTAAACACCACAAAATTAATTTGTGCTTTTTCAGATTAAAACAGCCAGTGGAAACATTTCTTGATGTACCGATACAGGAAAAAATGTTTTTGGTGCTGTGGGGTTCATTTGTTTTTGTTTTTTAATGAATGAGTATGGAAGTTACATCGATGTCTTGTTATAATTTATGTTGTTTTCTTATTCTGCAAACATGTAACATTGAAAATAGATCTCCAGATTGCAGAAACTACTACTTATCTTATATCATGTGTCACCTAATAGTTATGGAGCAGGTATTGTACCAAAATATGAATTGAAAAGCTGTAATTTTTTCTGTGGTTATCAGTCTGCATTAGTGTGTGATAAAGTGTGCTGCTTAAGAACTACCATTCACATACCTTTGCACTGACAAATAAAAATGTATATAGAGACACCACCAAATCTGTAAAGCTACTGTTCTAGTTTCTGATGCATTGACATTGTAGCTGTGTGCTTAGCCTTGTTTTTTCATGAGTAGTTATCTGTTTTAATGACAGGTGGTCACTAGCTGCCAAGAAAAAATCCAGCACTGGTAAGTGAAAAACATTTGATTACATGCCTAAAATACTGATGAGTAACCTAGTTATATTTTAGTAAAGTACTGCTATTTACTCTAGTGATAGCCAAATCCTGCTAGCATGTTTTGGGGGTTATAGGTAGCGATAGCTCAGCATTATTGCAGTGTTTAAAATGTATATATTTTCCACTGATAACATTACTTTAAATCACAAATACACTGAAACTTAGTGTTTATACTTCTGTTTTAAATATCCATCTCATTTGTCATTTTCCCCCAAGTAACCCTGTGGGATAAATTCTGAATTTGCCTGATTGGTGAAAAGGTACCCGGGGTAGCATTAATTATTTTTGTTTTCTTTCTAACTGTGGAGCAAGTAGGGAAATTCTGCTCCCCCCACCCCAGATGTGCTAAAACAATGTGAAAGTAATGTTTTCCTGTTTTGTTTTTTTTTTTCCCCCAGTAAAGTATGTGATATAGCTTAGTTTGCAATGCTTAGAAAGAAATGGTTTGTTATGTAAAAAATTATCTCTGGGCACTTTTTTCTCTGTTGGCAATCTATGGTTAATAGAAAACATGCTTAGTAAATAATAGTTTTGTATGGCATCTGAGGAAAATGTACATTTAATGGTGAATGAAATCTTATATTATGAGTTACTGTGAGATATAACAGTTGATCTTACAGATATCAAATTACAATATATCCATGCTGTGTTTACCATGATTTTACTGAGAGAACAACAGGGGCTGTCTTGATTATTGTCTGCAGGGTTATTGCAGAATCACAGCAACTGCCCCTTTAGTGGTGAGATTAAACCTTTGGTTATACATCATCAAGCATATAATATTTTAAATTTATTTTAAGAGGCTTTTTCTTCATGCCTGAAAGATCTCCAAGCAAATAATTTATATTTAGTGTGTATCAAATGTTTTTTAGTTTAAATGCACATAGGCTGCAAGCACTGGATAAGAGGAAAAAAATCAAGGCAATCTATACACATCATCATATTAAATTCTGACTATTGGCTCGCAAAAATAATCTAGAACTAATATGTTTCATTTATGTTTAAAATTCAGAGACTGCATTAATTTTCAATAAGGGAAATATTATTGAAGTGCCTACTGGTGCTGCTGTGGTGAACTCAGGCAGAATGTCCCTAGCCCACGTACTTTGTCAGGAGCTTTGCAGTGTCCATACCGATTTGGTCCCCTGTGAAATTCTGCATGTACCTTCTTTCACTAAGAGACAGTATTTTTCAGAAATAAACCAATTGACAGAAAGTCTTAGAATTCAAACAGATTTTTAAAAGTTTGGAAAGTTGTGACACTTACTTCCTCTTATAAAAATGGCTGAGGTTTGGAGGGGGGCGGCTGGCTGTGGAAGGAGTTGCTCACGTGTTTGCTTTTATGCAAACTCTGGCCATGGCCCCATGAACTTGGGGGTGTTGGGCACAGAATGTCAAAAGGGAAACCTACCTTACTGGTATCTTTTATCTAAAAAAGCAGTTTATACAGCATCCATGCAGTCTTTACTTTATAAAAAATTATTTAGTATTTAGGACCCTTATTTAGATCTTGATTGTGCAAGAGCTGAGTGCTCTTGTTTCAACTGAGTAATTTGTTCATATAAGACCTTTTAAGTAGTCAGTGACACAGAAGAATGTTAAATAGAATTGGGTGAATAACAATAGGGTTTTAAAATGCTCAGCTTCAATGTATTTCCATTAAGTTATTTTCTTTTTCATTTTTTAGTACGCTTCTTGAGGTATAGTTTTGAAGCCATGAATCCAGAAATGGGGCTGGTGAGGGATTAAACATCTGGACACATGTTTCCTCTTCTAGGGACGTGTTCAAAGCCAGAGCCCCAGTATTCATCCTCCCTGTTTGCTTTGGTTCGTCATTGCCTATGGGGACTGAGTTTAGTGCCCTCACACCCTGGAGCTCGTGTGACCATCGGCTCTCAGTGAAGAGGGAGGTCAGCCTTCCTTCCTTAAGTATGCCTGTTTCAGGCCAATTAATTGAAAGGATTGATTTTAATTTTCTTTATCTCGATGGTCCAGTTCAGGATGTGGCCGCACTTCTAGAGATTCCCATGGTGGAGGTTTGATCAGCAGAGGGAAGTAAGTCTCACTGAAAAAAGAAACATAGTTTGCTCTGTAAAGCAAAATAGCTTTTGTAGCAAGTGATTTCTGCTGTACCCTAATCAGATTATTCAGTAACGGGCAGCAGTCAGACCTTAAAGGCAGTATCTGCTTTTCAGATTAATGAAGAAATGTTGAGTGACTTTCAGCCATGAAATGATGGGAACGTTTAATCCGGCTGTGCAAGTGGGGGGATTTTCATACCATTCTATTCCCATGGAGTCTTCTCTTTGCATTTGAGACATGGGCAAGGCCTTCAGGTTGGGGGCTGTACGTGTTTTTCAGCAAGTAGTTGGATTGTTATTGTTGACACCAAGTTGTCATTATGTTGCTTTCCCCCCCAAAACATCTCAGTGAATTTTGTTAAGATTCATGAGTTTGTCCTTCCTCTTTGAAGGAAGTGAATTATGTTTTCACTTTGATGTGGGCAATGGACAGAGAAACTTGCCCAAAATGTCTGGGAGAAATCTGCTGTCAAACCAAAGCAGCAGCAAGCATCTTATGTAAATACGGAATACGGTTTTAATGTCCAAGTGGCATAAAAACCCACATTCCTTTTTTCAGGACCAGTTCAGCAAATATTTAAAATATGAAGTATGCCAGGTATAAAGTAGGGTGATTACAGCGAAGTTCAACTATGGAAGCAAATGAGTCAAAGCATAGTGAGTACCAGGTAATTTTTCATAACGAATGCTGAAGAAGATTTCACTCTGCTTATGAATCTAAGAAAATCAATGATAATATTTTGAGAGTTGTGTTACCAACTATGACGTTCATTTTTCAGCACATTTATAGATTGCTTTCCTGAATCATCCTCAGAAAACCCGTAATTTGCATCTTGGGTCAACGTTGTTAAGTGCGCTGCTCCATGCTCTCAGTTGCCTTTTATTGCAGAATTTACTACCATATATATGTTTACTGTTTTGAAGTACAAGTAAACAATATCATCAAACCTGATGTTTATATGCCAGCTACTTCATGCAGGAGCTGATTTCTGACCATCTTCAGAATGACAGTGGTCCATTAGAAGACTTTTTCCAGCTGAATTTAGGTATTCAAGAATGTCTTCACAAAAGAAAGCTTTTTTAGAGGGAGTGTAGTTGCTTGTTTTGCACACAAAGGAAGATCCCTGCAGCAATCAAAATGCTGTATCTTGCAAAGTCTTCTGAAGAGCCAGGTGTCTACCATGGGAATAACTTGCCTAAGTTCACTAAGCCTTTTCTGTCTTGGGTAGCAATATGTAGCATGAGCCTTGTTCACGTTTTGGATAGAGAAGCAGCAGAAGGGGTGTTCCTCACCTGTACTACCTTGTCAGGGATTGAAGATGCAACAGAATCCTGGTGGTCAAGCCATCTTTCAGGAGTGTTGACTCTTAATAAAACATAAAGTTCATGTGAAAATCAGAATTAATTCAAACTTTGCCCATTTATGTTGGTATGTATCACTTCATTACAAGTGATACTTTGAAGAATTTGCCTCTTACAAAGCATAAACTGGATTTTCAGTTATTTTGCTAAATATTGATGGTGGTATAACTGTTGAACTTGAACATGGAGTGAGATGCCAAATCCTAGTGAAAGAACTGATTCTTTGCACCATAAAAAATTCAAATTCAGAAAGAGACATGCACGATCTAAAATAATCCTGTCCCTATCTTAATACGTTATTCTAAAATAATCTTGCTATGTTTGTCATGCCAAGTCTTATAATTATAAATAAGTTATTATATGTGTTTTAGAGTAATATAGTTTATTTTTCTGTATTTTTTGTCTGTTGTTGAATTACGAGCAGAAAAACATTAACTCTTTAATTCAGATATGAAATTGAATGAGCTTGAATTTGTCAACAGGAAGAAGGTGGAGAGCGACTATGAGGCTCTTCAGGAACGACTCCGTACATTGCCTGATAAACTGTCCTACGATATCATGGTATGTACGCTGTAGAGTTCGCACAAGGAAATGGGCTAAAATTTTTAATAACTGAGGTATCTGCACTGGCGATGAGGTGTTATTCATGTTGCCAGGTAGTACTTAGTAATGTTACATTTATTATGATAATAGTTAAACCTTTGCTTTTGTTTCTGTCTCTTCTCTTTGAAATCCATTATAAATTACAGTCTTACTGACAACTGAGAACTGATGACATAAATGCTAACACAAAACCTGACATGTTTGATATGTAAAGCTATTGTATAGAAAACTATAATTATGACTGAATTACGGTACTTAGTCATTTCCTGAGAAGAAAGTGGCCGTAGTATTTCCTGATTCATGGAAATACACCCTAGAACATTGATTTTTACGTAAAAAGGTGCTGCTAATTTTTGTTTCACCGATCTTCACATTGACATAGCGATCTTTTCTGGTGCTTTGAATCTTCCCTAACAACTGCACAGCTACCTCGGTAAACTTTACCCTGTTGGCTTGCGCTCACCAGAATTTTGACCAAATTGGCTTTTTTCTCATTCTTTTTTTTCCTCCCCACTTCTCAGGTCCAATTCCAAGATAACATCTTTGAAGGGAGGGAAGTTGTACTGTGAATAACTGGCTAATTTCAGCACAAAGTGCCTGACTGCCTTCTTCCTTGGCAGTCTGGCTCAGCATAGAGACTTGAGTTGTTAGTAAGACAGCGTTGGAGTACACTTACCATGTGGGAAAAGAGAGTGTTTCCCTTCCCAGTGCTAATGATTCAGCTCTGGATTTTACGTTTGTAGTCCCGTCACCATGTGCATATGCGTGGCCACATGATGTAAAGCAAAAAGATTGTGTTGTTTCAAAGTGTAGAAAAAAACCTTAAAAAAGCTAGATAGGGCTTATTCGTAGTTAAAGCAGCAGCAATGTCAACTCGCATCTGCTATTTTATATGTATATAAACAGTTCATATTCTGTTAGCCAAATATCTTCATATGTTTTCAATTTTGCTTTCATCATTTTGGGGGAAGAGTGAACAGGCAAATGGTGCAGCCCACTACTTGAAAACCAAGGCAGGAAGGGTACATGTGCAGGAAAAGCACATTCTGCATAGTCTTAACATCAGGATCCTGCCTGCTGCAGAATTGTTTCAAGCATTCAGGGGCTCTGATCCAGTTGAAGATGTCCCTGCTCATTGCAGGGGGGGTTGGACTAGATGGCCTGTAAAGGTCCCTTCCAACCCAAACTATTCTATGAGACTGTGATTGGTAACCCTCCTGGATACTGAAGCTATGGAAGATCACTTTCCAAGGAAACAGATCCACCAGACCAGGTACTCTTGCTTCAGCCCAAAATGCGATGAGGGAGCAAGTGGCTATCCTGAGGGTATGAAGAAGGCAGCAGAGGAGTAGAGTGGAAGGAACTCATACAAACTGGCTGACACACATCTCTTTTTACCCTAAGAAAGAGAAAACTTGGCATAGATGTGGTTCTTAGCTTTTTGCCTCCTCCATTTTAATTTGATTTTGGTCTCCTGATTTCTTTGCGGTTGAAGCCCAAAGGCAGCCAGGCAGGTGGCAGTAGGTCTGAGGGTATGAACATGGGGGCTGGTGCAGGAGACAGGGGTGAGGGTGGCCAGGGCTCCTCCTCAGTGATAGGATTTGCCCAAGCACTGTCTGTAAGGTGTGGGCTGTGGAAGGTGTCTTACATCGTCATAATGTCCCGTACAGTGTAATACACGTTAAAATGCGGGTTACATGTTTTAAGAAGGGCCCTTTAAAGTTAGAAAATGTGTTTATCACCAATGTACTCCTGTCTGAACTATTCTGGTTCTCCTTATTGGTTCCTGTGCCTGGAGGGTTGTTGGGAAAGAGGCATTGCTTGGTGGAGCACTGCTCGAAGGTTGAGCTCTGCGTATCGGTGAATTATAAAGTGAGGTTAAGCACCATATGCAATCCTGATAGTAGCCACGTGAACTTACACTAAGGTTTCTAGGAACTATTACCGATACAGACAGGGAGAAAAGCAACTCATCACTGAGTTGACCGTACGTATTTAAGTATTTTAAAAATTTTGGCAAAGCTGAACTTGCTTTTATTAGGAATTGAATGTAGGCTGTGTATAGCAAATGTGTAACTCACCCAAATGTTAATATTTTTATTATCAAGGCTTACATGTGAGGATTAAGTGAATTTGTTTTCCATTTGAGCATTCAGCTATACTGTAGATTAATGTCACAAAACAAGTTTTCTACTTAAATACCACTTTTCTGATTTTGTAAGTACAATACTAAATTCAAATGGATCTGGTCATTTGAATATTTAGGAAGGGTTAGTCATTAAATAACTGCTGTAGGATTTTTATTTCTTAACTCTGTGTTTTCCTTTTTAAAAAAAAACCCTAAGACCTGAGTGACTGCCTAGGTTTTCTCTTCACTAGTGATTTTCAGCTGTTTCTTCTGTGCCTTTGACAGGTACCTTTTGGTCCTCTTGCCTTCATGCCAGGAAAACTTGTCCACACCAATGAGGTTACTGTTCTGCTTGGGGACAACTGGTTTTCAAAATGCTCAGCAAAGCAGGCTGTTGCGCTGGTTGAGCACAGAAAAAAACGTATGTATGTTTCTGAACATAATTTAATAGTCAAAATTATGTATCTTTGTATTAATCTATAAAGTTGGTAGCATCTACACTGTTCTTTTTTTTGTGAGCTAGCTAACAGAAGTCTCATTCAAATGTAATATCAGTTTAGCACCTTATTTTCCATCTTTACTCGGTATTTTATTGGATATGTCTAATTTTTTTAAAAAATCTAGCCAGAGCTTTATTTTTATTAATGATACACCAGCTCAAGTTACTAAAATTTGGGTGTTGATGTTAGATGTTAAAATACAAGACCAGTCAAGATTTGTTATTGTACACAAAAGTAAAAAAACCAAACCAAAACAAACTAAAACCCCCCTCTCACTTTCATGTGAGAAATGTTGTATTTTTTCCAGAAAGTGAACATCATGTTGTACTTTGCTCTTAGTTACCTTATTCCCTGTTTTCTGTTCCCTTGTCTCTTCTCTTACTTCTTTGCTGACTTGTCCTCTTTTGTTTTTTTTTTAACTTTGTCCCTATAATTTTCCAGCTTTCTTCTCCATCTACCCATGCTTTGCTCCTGCTTTTTGGGCTTTTTTCTCGCTTGCCACTCAGCTGCATATCTGCCTCCTGCCCTCGATGTTGGTGTGGAGAGATCCACTGGATCTCCCCAGATCAGGTGCCATTGGTGACCACCCAGTTCATCTTACACAGCAGTAGGTCACAGGGCAGATGGGCAATTCCTGGGTTTGTTTCCAGCTCTTTTTGGTGGTGGGATCTTGGCTTTGAAGAGCCAGGACCGCCAGCAAGTGGTGTGCATGGTGCACTTTGGAACCTCTTTGTGCTGGAAAGAATGAGAGCCTAAAATATTTGATGTAAATGTCAAGGAAGGAAAAGCACAATAAAATGGAAAATAAATTGGTACCTATTAGCCTTTGCTGTTTGCTTCAGATAAGCGTTTGAGTAAATTTGTTTCGTATTGGTTTTACCTATAATCTGTCTCATTCCTGAATGAGTGCTCACTGCAGCTTCACCCTGTGTATGTTACAACTAGCGCAACTATTTACATTGGATTTTTGTTTAAAAGTCCAGCTATCCATGTTGCTGCCTGCAGCAGAATACCTCAGAGCTTCCCCATCTGAATAATTTTTTTTTTCAATTCTGCGCAAGCAATATTTGTGTAAGAAAAGGGGTTTTCTTTTATAAAAATCCATTTGCTGTATTACTTTAAAATATTCCTTTATGAAGAACATTACCAAAAGTATGTAATTTGTATTTTACCTATTATCTTTTTTAATCTGGTTCTCCTGACACAACTTTGTAATTTTCTTTCTTACTGAACTGAATCTACATTATTTAGTGTGACTCTTGCGAGATCTCAGGTCCATAGCTTTTTCCTTGATCATCTGATATTTTTTTCAGTGCTGCAGAATTTTTTTGTCACTGTTACATTCAGTGAAATCATTTGACCTTTGCATAGTAGATGTTTGAACATTAAGTAGTCTGCTGGGAGACACACAATAAATGCTGGATTCTTTCCTTTATGGTCTTTTAAATTGCATTTAAAATATGAACTCGGAAATACTAATTTCTTTTAAAGCAAAATAGTCATTGATGCCTGGATATAAACCCTCCATTCAGCTGGTAGTTCACTTCAGCTGTGTGATGGCTGCCAGTGGGAGGCTCCAAAACACTGATATTAACTAAAAACTTTTTATTTAAAGGACTATTTTCAGTTTTGGATTATTAAAACCATATTAGTACATACGACTCTGAAAACAAAAAAATCTTTCGTAGATGCACTTTTCTCCTTTAAAAAATACAACAGACTTAAACTCTTTCAACTGTTTTCACACTAAATGAGGGCAATGTAGAGGAGAATATATGAAATATTATTTGTTTATTCTAATTAGGAAAGAAGTTGGGTACATGAAGGACCTGTAGGCCATTGCTATATAATGTCAGTTGGCCACTTGTGGCACAAATGTGAAAGACCGCTGTTTCACAGGTATTAGTTGATAAAGTCTCTTTTGTGTACTGCACTGTAGTTATTTTCATAGGTAGGACTTCTGATTTCACTGGCATTTTGTGAGCAGCAGTTTACAGGGTGGTGTATATTGCACATTATCACTACATTGACACAACGTGATTTGATTTTTAGTACATAATCTTTTTGTTTTGGACACAAATTTTGTGAGTAGGTCACGCGGACTGTAAAGGAGGGCGTGCTTACTGCAGGGGATTACATTGCAAGCAGTCCCGAATGTCCTGTGTGCCAGTCGGAAGGTCCTAACATAGCAAAGCTTTTTTAAAGCATGTGCTTAAGGCCAGTGTGTGCTTAAAGGCTTTGATATATAGAATTGGGGTCTGAACAGAGCAAAGAAAGGCTCAGGCTGAATTTGCTTCCCGAACAGAAAGCTGGCGATATTTATTGATGGTTTGTTTCTTCACTGACCTACATTTTTTTATCCAATATTACTCTATTTAATTTAGATGGGTGTTTTTTCGTAACTAGTTCAGATAACCGAAATGAACTTAATTAGTATAGCACTAATAATTCAGTGCTTTAACAGAAGTTAAGCGTTACAAGGAAATAAATACAAGACACACGTTTTTATTGCTTACTGTATCTTGTGTCCCACTCCTCTGAGTGGTGAGGAGTGGGAGAGCATCTGCTCAGGGTTTAAATTTTCTAGTGGGACTGGCTCTTGGGTAGAAAAGGGCAAGAGATTCCTGTAACTCATGCACTGCTGACTGTTGTTTCTTGCTGGTTCTGGGGAGTTTTCTTGATTGCCTTTGACTAGTTTTGCGTGAGGCTGCCCATCGAAGACCTCTGGACACCAGGGGTGTCCCTGTTTGCCTCTGAGGACACCACTGCCCTCACAGTTAATTTGATCAAGGTTCACAGAAAATTTTCTTTACAGTTTGATTCCTTCTGTGTGTGTTGGATGCACGCAAGAATGGACAATATGAATTTGCATGCTTAAGCAGTAGTAGTGCCAGATAAATCAAACAATATCAGTGAGTACAAAGCATTGGAAGTTAGGGATAGCAATAAGACTGCACTATATATAAAAGCTTTAAATATTACTTAGTACTAATTAGGTCATCCTTTTTGTCGTAGTAGTTTTGTTAAATTTGCTTTTTAAAGGAGGACAAGTGGAAAAATGTTTGCTTCTGTGGAATAGAGAAATGCCCAGCCACAGCAGATTAATTTCTTGCTTAAAATGTATTTAATTGAAAGGAATAATTGAAGGGTGACTGTACTGAATATTAAAAGTAAATGCACTTTAACTGACATAGCTGTAGAAAGCCCTATTTTTGGGATACATCTTTGTTTGCTTAGCTTTTGATTTAGATGCAAACTGTTCAGCATTGTGATTGGTTGGAAGGTATTTGGTAAAATTTGGGACAGTCACTCATGTCAAATGTTACTTTTTAATAAAATATTGATCATGTCTTCTTGAATAATATTTGAGTTGCAGTAATCTTTCATTTGCTGCACATTTTTGTGACATCCTAGATGTTCAGTTAGTTCCAAAACTGTTAAAAAAAAAATCCAGTGAAGTTTATGGAATTGTCAAGTATATTTTTAATTGTTTTAAATTTGTTGCAGTTTGTTAAACCAGGTAGTACAGGTAATGGGAAACACTTTACACATATGTTTGTGTGTAAAAAGTGTGAAGAAACAGTGAAGTAGATTAAAGGATATGCACACCAAATTCCATTATAATAAAAGAAATTAGCTTTTTAAGTATGTCACAGTTTAGCACAACAATAATGCAATTGTAGTTTTTTCTCTTACAATTATCTTGCTTAAGGTACTTCATAATATTTCTGTTCTCCTCAAGGCAAGACTGTATTGTCTCAGAATTCAAAGAGGGAATAAAGATTCTTTTTGTGAATACGGGATTATATCTTTTACGTGTTTGTGATGATATAAATTACGTTTTTTCTCTATATCAGTAATCGCATTAATTCTTTAAGATGGGAAATTTTTCATTACAATAGTCCCTGTGGTAGTTACTACAGAAAGAAATTAAATAGATTTTTCTTGTAAATATTTGTGGATTAATTTAGTATGCTAGGTATTCCAAGTGTCTAAACACTTTAAAAGGTGGGAAATTAAAACATGCACACAGAACTAGGAGTGGTTTTATTGTGTTAAAAATTTATCAGATAAAAAAAATCCCACTTAAAGGAGAATTGTTGAACTACTGAGCAATTGTGTCTTCAATATATGTAAGAATACCCTTGCAGTGTCACGCTGCAAATGAATTCATGAAATGAAAATACTGATTACATTAACATACAGTATTGTGATAGTACCCAGTTGTAAATTGCAGTATGTAACCTTTAATACAAATATTTGTGTCAATCAAAATTGACCGATAGCTTAGTATACAGGGTTTAAAAGATACCATTGTTTTTAATAAAAAAGATGATCCATGTGGATGAGGACCAGTTTGAATTTGTTCCTTATCAGCATTTCCAGAAAAAAGGATATTGTCTCCAAAATATACGATAGGAAGGCTTTCCATTTCCCATCTGTGAATGAGTGAGGCCTTTAGAGGTTTTAATGTTTCATCCAAGGGTGAAAATAACTTCTTTTATATTCCTATAAGAATGTAACACAAACTTGCCTACTCACTTTTTGGGGGAAAAAGAATAAAAAATGCAGGCAATGTTGCAAAGAAATCTAGCTGTTGCTTTTCTTTATTAAAAAAAAAAAAAGAGATGATTTCGGCTATTGTTCTGTGTGCTGGAGAATTTTCTTTCGCTGTGCTTTCGAACATTGTTTTACATTTTTTGTGATTATCACTTTTTAGTTTGATAACCTCCATCAGTTCCTTCCTTACCCTTGTTAAGTTAGGAGCTGATTCAGTGGAGTGCTAAGTGCTCTAAATTTGCTTTGCAGTTCCCAGGAGGTGTTTGGTTTCTCACAGGACCATAGTCTAGGTATTTTAACCAGAACACAGTGAAAGAAAGTAAGGAGAATACACTCCTTTCTGTAAGTTATATATTGATTCAAAG